AGCTGCCCTGGGTTTCTTGCTCTTTTCTTTAAGGCAGCAGACCCCACTGCCACTGTCAGAAAGGACAATGACCCAGACAAATGGGTAGCCCAAACCATTCTAGAAGCACCTGCCCTCCTTTACCATGAAAAGGTTTCTCCTTTTGTACTGGTGTTCATTACACCAGTTTCTTAAAGGTGGAAGCCAAACCTTGTGCAAATTATCTGATTTCAGCACACACTATGTAAGAATTAGATCAATTAAACAAAAGGGGGAAGATGTTGGCACCTCCCAAAATGAAGTGCTATTGTCTATCAAGAAAGTCTTCAATATCCTAGGAGTACCTGAAAGGAAATAACCACAACCCAGAAGGAAACAGTTTAGGATTTGAGACAGTCAAGCTGTTTGTTTGCCACAAACAAATCAAAATTAACTCAAAATAAAATAATTTCCTCTCTTCCTGCTAATTTTAAAGTGGATGAGTTGTACCTAGAATCCATTTTCCATTCTTTAAAGTTCAGTAAACTTACTGTAGTAAAATACCAGATTTTTCCCTTCCTTGCAGGCAAATTATGCATAAATGGCAGTTCACTTAAAAAAATTGTACAAACATATGTCAATAAATGAACTATGCACCCTACTTCAATTAAAAAGTTGACGTAACAAATAGATGAAAACATGAATTCTCAGTAACAGCTCTGGTAACCTTAGTCCAGCTGTACTTCCACTCATCAAGCTGTCCTTCACATCCTAAAAACACACGTGAGAAATGCTCAATAGGATCTCACACACTTTGTTTGTAAAACACATTATTTCCATAGTAAGTAGGAAGATCAGAGTCTTGTTTAACTTCGGAAATTGATTCTATTAACAAACAAGACATTACTTCTTACACAAGAAATCTTCCTTTAATCTGGAGATGCAGCAGTTTCCAGACTTTTTCCATTTTGATCTGTTTCAAGGGAGTAATCCTCGAGACCAACAAAAACCAACCTCATAAAACATTGGCATGGAGCAGTCAAAAATATATTATCCAACAAAAATGCCTTCAGGTCCCGCTAAGAGCTTTGGAAACTGCTCAAGTACAAAGACTGACCATTAACATTGAGAAAGCATTTCTGAATAGCAGACAATATGGGGAAGACATAGCAAAAAAGCATCACTGTGTGAAAAAAAAAACAAAAAACCCACAAAAAATCATTCATATAAATCATTCACAATATTGTTGGCTCTTCAAATACTATACAAGAAAGATATAAAAGGACGTTAATGTTTAAAGAGGCAACAATCTCAGGGTAAGAGAATAATGAAGATTAATATGACTTGTGAAAGCTCCCCAAGGCCCTGTTCTGGATGGCAGTCCCACAGTGCTGTGTACAGCAACACAGCGATGACTCCCCACCTCAGAAACCATACACCCAAAGGCAATTAAGCTAAAATAAAATTAACTAGGATATTCATCTGATGTGTTTAACAGCTCTAGTTCTTATATGTGATATGTTTTTGGAGTCTGTACTACCACTTCAGCCTTTGAGAGAAAAAGAGGATTACAATCTTTTTTCTGGTAACATGATTCAGGAACAGTAAGGGATGCTAAGGAAGAAGAAAAAAAATATTCACCCTCTCAATCATGAAATGCTTAGCTCACACAAATGCTGCTTATCCTGCAGAAGGGGAAAAATAGACTGCTTTCTAAGAAGTAAAAAGCAGATTTCTCAATTATGTAACTTTTTTTTCTTTAAGACGCTGGTACTAGGTATTTAATTTCTAAAAAATTATCTTTACAAAGAAATTTTCAAGATCCATTTCCATCAAAATATTAGCTCTTCCTTTGCATTATGTATTCTTTACAAAACACATATTTTCAAGAGGATGTTGCAGGAAAATGGCTGGAAGTCATCCCAGAAACTACTGCATTATATATCCTTTCTGTAAGTCAGGTGAAAAAGCTAGTATACATTATTCTAGACTGGAAGGCAGAAAAGAACAAGTCATTGTGGATTCAGCTTCTGCTGCCAGAACAGCAGAAATGCTTTAATGCAGCAGGAATGTCCCTTTTAAAACACATACAATTTTTTTGTAAAATTTAAAAGATTTAATGAATTACCAACAAGTTGCTTGTTCATTTTTGCTGCATTGGAAGTCAAAGGGAGACTATAATCACAGTTCATTCACAAAGCAATTAACATAGATGCATGAACTTATGCAAATACTTTGTCAAAAAGTTTTAAGAGGAACCTTGTTCTTCAACAATCAATACAGTAGCAATGTGGAAAAATCTATTATGGTTATATGGCCTATTATACTTCCTAAGAGGAAAGGCTAAGAGAGTTGGGGTTGTTTAGCCTGGAGAAGGGGTGGCTTTGGGATGACCTAATTGTGGCCTTCCAGTACCTGAAGGGAGCCTACAAGAAAGATGGAGAGACACCTTTGTAAAAAGCTTGTAGTGATAGGACAAGGGAGAATGCATTCAAACTGAAAGAGAGTAAGTTTAGATTAGATGTTAGGAATAAATTCTTTACTATGAAGGTGGTAAGGCATTGGAACAGGCTGCACAGAGAAGTTGTGGATGTCCTGTCCCTGGAAGTGTTCGAGGTCAGGTTGGACTGGGGTTCTGAGCAACCTGATATAGTGAGAGGTATCCCTGTCCATAGCAGGGGGGTTGGAACTAGATGATCTTTAAGGTCCCTTCCAACCCAAGGCGTTCTATGATAGACACAGATAGAAAAAGGGACCCAAAATAACATAATGAAAACAGCCTTGACACTTATGCTGCTTAAAGATGCAAATACAGCAACAAATTAAAGACTGCTTTCAGGATCACTCTGCTTCTAAAAGCTCTAAATATGAGCACTTCTAAAATCCCACTATTCAATATTAAATATTGAAAATTAAGTTAATATATCCTACTCATCCTTAATCCAGTAATACCTTCAAGTTCTGATGCACCTAATTGCAAATTACTGCTGTAGCTAAAGATTATCCCCTGCCAGATAGAGCCTAAGAAATCCCTTAAGACCTCTTTTTCCAGAGGGATGAAGCAAGACCGGAAGGTTACAACATATGGAAAATGCATGAGAAATTGCAGCCTAACAGAGACATTAGAAAGCAGGGCAGCACTCAGAAAGATAGAGCTCTTAATGGGTAGTTTCCATTTAAATGGCATCCAGTGTCAGCTTTCAGTTACCGTGCATCACACAGCAGCTACAGCCAGAGCCAAACCCTGTTTGCACAGCCTGGAACTCAGGTGCACAGCACAGAGAGCCCAGCGTAGCCAAGAGCCACCTTGAGGACAAAGCTGATAAAAACAAATGCTGATTTTCTTGCTAGGAAGAACAAACATGTACAAAAACGATGTCTTTTTATGAACAACTACACACTTGTATAGCAACAGAAGTGGCTCTGTGCATGTGTGTCTATATGCACAACATGCTAACATCCACTGGTTGCAGAAGCCTGTGATCCCTGGAGACTCGTGTGCAAGGCATTAGGGGAGGGGACAAGGACACAGGGCTCTTGCTGCACTTGGCAGGATGTTCTCAGAGGGTTGCTTCTAATCCACCTCCACTTGTTTGCTATGACACATTGCCCTCTCCACTGCCTAAAGCACAAGGTGGTCTAGTGCCCAGAGAATTCAGTGAAGCAGACACGAAATCACCACCAGAGACCTTACTAATCTTCTACTACTCTCTGAAGTTGCACAGCTTGAAGAGCAGCTTAAAACCTGGAGCCCCCAAACTGTGGGTATGTCAAGTTGCCCACAACTAAATGTCATATATCCATTAACACCTCTGAGGTACCTTGACTCCCTGGTGCCCCCTCTATCTTCAGCATCTGTACAACTGTGCCCATTAGCAGCCAAAAGTCAGATTAACCTGCTTAGCACAGCTAATACTAGTGTTAACACTGTAGGAACGTGTTTAAACTTGACACTGAGTAATTAAAGTAAATCATATGTATTTAAAGTACACTGTTCCAAAGGCACTCAAATCACTGCAGCGCTGTAGATAATTATGTATAGCAGTCAGCGCACTGAAAAAAGAAGATGAGGAAATGTTCCTGACAAAGTGAAGGGAGCTGGTGTGCTCTGAACATAATCTGAAGAAAGAATAAGAGTGTTGCATAGCATATAACCTATAAATTAAGCTGTCAATAAAATGAGAGAGAGACTAGGGAAAACAAAGGCAGAAGAAAACAGCTATTTCTTCAAATGAACCTCAGCTGCTGAATCCCTCTCTATAAATCTAATGGTATATATTTTAAAATCCAGTATTACTTCGTTCTAAACATTATTTCCTAGACGCCAAAATCAGCAGAGAGGACCATGTATTTCTTGAAACAAATTTGACAGGCTACTATATTATACTTTTCATGCTTACTGGTATGCTACAACAGTTAATTTATAAAAAAACAAAGCTCTGTAAAAACAAAGTTATATCTGTAGGATATTTTCATGAAACACTGTTTTGCAGCTAATAGCCTTTAAAAAGGAAAAAAAAAAAAATCGATGGATGAAAAAGGGTTCTATCCAAAATGACTGATGAAGAAGAGGAAGGAAAGGGTACCATGTGAATCTGCAGCAAAATATAATGTAACTATTGATCTCTGCAATCAGTAGCAGGTTGTCTTTCAGATCACAGGTACTTTTATAGTTACACAAACGTCCTTGCTTGCTCTACAGTAAAGGTCTTAAAACAATTGACCTGATTTTTGGGTTTTTTTAAGGGGTTAGGGGCTCCTATTCAACCTGTCAATTAAAAAAAAAAAAAACCACAGAAACACAGTCAATAATGAATGATGTTAAAATAGAAAATTACAGCATTAGCATAAGTAGAATAAGCAAACCTACAGCAGCACAGCAGATTAATGACAGTTACAACAACACAAAACCTGGTAAAAGACAGTTTTAAAATGGTCTTACACAACAGAAAACCTGAAAAGGCAGAAGGCTCTTATAAAGCTGACCTTATGCACACAAAATGAACTACAGGTAACACTGCTGAGAGATGTATGCATCTTACCCGTGAGTACAGCTTTTGCTGAAGGGTCTGCCAGATCCAGCGCAGATTTCCCATCGGTGTTCCGAATGTTTGGATCAGCTCCGTGCTGCAGCAGCACTGTGCAGGGAAAGCAGAAACAGTATCTTACCTCAGGTATACACGGGTTATTTACTGTTAAGTGTCTCCTCGGCATGATGTAGGCATAAACACACATTGCACAGTTTTCTTTATTTTTCCTTCTGTTTTTTTTTTTTTTTTTTTTTTTTTTTTTTTTTTTTTTTTTTT